TCTCTCTCTCTCTCTCTCTCTCTCTCTCTCTCTCTCTCTCTCTCTCTCTCTCTCTCTCTCTCTCTCTCTCTCTCTCTCTCTCTCTCTCTCTCTCTCTCTCTCTCTCTCTCTCTCTCTCTCTCTCTTTTTCTATTTTCCTTCCCCCCTTCTTTCTTGTCTCTTCTTTTTTGTCATTTGATGCTGGTCCTGCCGACTTCTGTTTCTCTGCAGTTTCATTTACATTCTACCCTTGTAGGCCGCGTGTACCTTGACGAAATGAGATGAGCTGTAAGTTTTAATTGAGCTGTACGAAATAAATGGCAAAAATTGATTAATTAATCTGTTACCAGAGGAGAATACTGGAAATATTCTAGAGTGACAGATTTTGCATTTAGAATGTACTTTTACTGCATATTAAATATGTATATTAGAAAATCAGACTTAATAAAATATGTATCAAATAGTTTTGAACTAACAAAAGTGGAAGAATAAAATAAAAATGTTTAATGAAAGGACGAGATTAAACGCATACATAAGCGTGTAATTTAATATAAATTTATAATATAAGTTCTATTGTTTTGTTGGATTTTGTATTTTAAAGAGCTCTTAAAATTTACGATGTTGAGCGTTGATGTAACTGCAGATCGCTTATCATCGATTTATGCGCCTACTTGCGAATTCGAATATTGTTTAGTGAGTCCATTACCTCCATTGAGATATTCACAGCTCACAGCTCATTGCTTCGTTTATCAACGTACACGCCAGCTTATTGCCTCCTCATTCTTTAACCGATGGGAACTTATTCTTTGTCGTTTACAAAGATACTGTTAATTGGAAAAATTGTTATTTATGCGCTGCACATATTAAAATAAGTGTTGTTAACTCACATTGAGTCATCGACTCATAAATTGTTAACATAGTCATCTTAGTTATAGACAAAGAATAATTCTGCTGGCTTATTTATCTTATTCCTTATGCATCAAGATCTCCACACAGAAAATCGCAAACACTCCAGACTGAATATTAAATCTTCAAACGTGATTGAAGATATGTCAGCAATACTCATGATTTGAACTGTATAATTACGTGATTGCGGCCACACGCTTTTTCTCATGCCTCTTCAATTTTCGTCAATTTGCAATTCCGATTAGCCATGACTTTTCTCAGTCATAATCCCTTTCTCGATTTATCATATATACTAAACGAAGCGCTATTGTATGAAAGCCACATGTAAAAATCAAAAATTCAACGTTTGTATCATGTTTTACTGCAAGACGAGTAACTTGTTTTTACACCTGTTTATTCTTCCTTTTTTAATTTTAGTGAGTTTCTGCCATATAATAATTGAATAATAATTTACATAATCAGGATTACATTTTAGGAAATGTAATATTTTTTTGTATCAATAAAATACTTTTACTGTACGTTAGTTTTATAATGCGAGGAGAAAATATGTATTACGAGGTATAGTCTTCGACGAATTGGCTGTGGAATTTATATTCTGCTGTCTCTTTCTGTCTCCTTTTAACTTACTATCGACATTCTGTTATCCCTGCTCCAGAAACGAAAGCGCCCATAAAAAATAATGTCGTTCATTATCGGTGTTGTTGTCGTCTTGGCTTAATTGCTTGATTGTGGCAAATGATTGTACCGCATTACCTCGGAGCACCGTTGCACATATATAACATGTATATACACACATACACCACATGTACACACGTACACACACGCACTTTTGTATCTATTATATGTCAGTGTGATATCTCTCATTGTCGCGGAGTGATATTCTCTACCTACATGGTAAGAAAGACCCTGTGAATATGCCGAATGTCACCCTAAGAATGTCTTCGCAGGCCTTCCCCCCCCCCCCCCCCCGTGTCTTCCCAATGGTCTCCACCTACTTCTGTACGATCCATTGTCTTTTATATATAGTGGGCTATATACTATTTATTGAGATATCGACGCTCCTTGGAAAGTAATCCCTTCTGTCTTATGGCTCTCTTGTCGTTTCCATAAAGTGTGTTTGATATATCGTAGAATAGGTATTGTACAGCGTATGTACCTCTTAAAGTACAAAGGAACAGAGCCAGCTCGAGGGAACAGAGTGGACGATTAAGAATAGACTAAATGTAGGTATGCGCACGATTTGCAGGGTGTAAGCGTTCTGATCGGTTCAGCACAAGATGTTTACGAATAATGACTTTGATAATTATCATTTTACCCCTTGGCAGCGGGTATTCCGTATCTATATATGCTCGGAACCTCGGACAAAGTAATTGGGTGCAATCGGGTGTGTGAACTTCTATTCCTATGACTTTGCCCGACACTCAAATATACTGTCGCACTTATTAATGGCATCACAGTATTAAAATCATATAGCAATTATAGCAGTACAACTGAGAACGCTATTAGATGTAATCACGGCACAAAAAAAGAGATGTACATTTATTTCATAAGATACTTCGAAAATATTTCTAAGTATTAGCTAGTTATTAGAATAACAACATTGAATATGACTGTACACTCGATATGGACATTTATATTTATAGCAAAATTTTTTTAAAAGATCTGCTTAGCTTTAGTAATCTTCCCAAGGGCGCGTAGCATAGCGACAACAAGTAAGTGTAAGTTAAGTAAATTTTTTTGACTAATTTTTCTACTCCTAAGATTTTAGTGAAGCATGTTAAGTAGATAAATGTGAGCAGAAGAAACAGTACTCAGTCGCATAAAAATTGTCGAATATAAAGTAAAATTTTTATATTGTACCTTTTTAATTGATTATTGCATTTATATATTATTTGCGTTACATTCTTCCCTCGGTCGTGTGTATCGAAGCGGATTGATTACTGTTGTTTATAATTACCCAAAATCTTTTTCTCTGCGCATCTAGATTAAAGTGCATGCATTAGCCAGTCTGGTATGTTTTGAAACTGATTTATATAATCTCTTTTTCCATGTGTATAATATTATATTTACTCACTATACACTGACACTACACTTTCAGCGTGAGTTCTTCTTATCTCAAACTGAATGAGGTGTGTTCTCTATCTTTTATAACTTTCGTCGAAGGCTTGCGAGAATTGTCCCTCGCTCCTGCGGAATATTGTTTTCGTTTATGGTTTTTATCCTTCGCATTTTCTTCATTGCATTCAGCGAATATCCTTCGAATGATATAATTTTCGGCTTGCAGTTTTCGGGCTTAATTTTTTTTTTCAATTGTGGATTACCGCGCATAGAACAGTCAAAATCATGTTCCGCACATAAGTTTGTACAAGTTTAGTGTGCGAGCAAGAGAAGGGAAAGGGGAAAATTGATTAAGTATAGAGTTTCCACTTTTCCATTGGTCGCACGGTAAACGCTATAAGCCAAATTTTCACTCTTCTCTCACCCGAGTCTTCTTTTACTTCTTCAAACGTTTTCTTTCGAATCATACTTCATACTTTTCGTAGTACTATTCCGAACGAGTTGCGTTCCCTTGCTAAATGTATAATTTTGAAAACTGCAGTTGGTCTCCCAGTCTGCGTATGGCAGGCGAAGGGCAGTTGAGAGACTTCATCGAAGATCTTGGACCGGGCCAAGTGGTCGGAAGGCAAGCACTCGGTGCCCGTTGCCTCGGCGAAATTCAACTGTCGTTGAGCCACACGAAGGGTTACCTTGAAGTAGAGGTCATACGTGCCAAAGATCTTAAAGCGAAACAAGGCAGCAAAGTAATACCAGGTTAGTTAAACTTGGATAAACTTGATCATCACCGATAAGTGATGCGGACGTGCTTAGCTTCGGCTCTCATTTCAGCTCCTTACGTAAAGCTGTATCTGGTGAACGGTAAAAGATGTATAGAGAAAGCGAAAACTTTGATGGCCAGAAAAACGTTGGATCCGTTCTATCAGCAATTATTGGCTTTCAAAGAAAACTGCCGGGGTTGTATATTACAGGTACATGCATCATTCTTCTTTCCTCTCTCCAATTCTTACAACTTTATGCGCACATATTTAATTACATCATTATGACTCCAGGTGACAGTATGGGGCGACTATGGTCGGTTAGAGGGGAAAAAAGTGTTCATGGGTATTGCACAGATCGTATTGGATGAGCTGGACCTGAGTCAGATGGTGTTCGGATGGTACAAGCTGTTTGACACCCAAGCCCTGGTCAGTGGAGCTCCATCCCTTGCTTTGTCTCGTCGATCTTCGGTTACGTCTCTCGATTCTTTTAAAATCTAAAAGAACGTACCGAAATATTCCTTTTATACGCGTGTTTACTGAGGAGATGTTTGAGTTTCTTGCAGTAGACAAAGTAGAGCAGACACAATTGAGTTCGAGCTCCTGTCGCGGTGCACTTAGTCGCTTTTATCATTAACAAAATACTGAAATGCACGAGTCTCGATGTACAAGATAGTATTACGTTTACTTTAACTGATTAAATAATTAGAAGGTGTATGGAAATTGTTATAAACGTCTTTAATAACTTAAGTGACACGCATAAAGTCATCGCTCGATGATATTATATGTAGTAACACGTAAATATATTAGGGGATAGAGAGAGAGAGAGAGAGTTCGGATTACCGCTACATCCAGCGTATAAAAGTTGAGAGAAGTATATAAATGATTCTCTATCCTGTCGTAATGTTACATATTCTTCACTACGATTGACAGAATTGAAAAGAATCTTACACACCCTACGCGTATCCCCCGTAGGCTATTAATGTCGAAGCCTAAAGCTACTTAACGGGTGACGTTTGGCTCTGAATACGGTAAAATCAGTTTAACGATACGTACATAATGATGGGTACACAGTATGAGAAGTGCGATTGTACGGATAATAGAAAATTCTGCGGGACCGGAATGAAAACGAGAGATATGTGTGCAACGCAAAGGCGAATCGAGAATTTGCAAAAGAGTGAGAGAACGTACGGAAGGATATGTCTTTCTAGAAACACCACTAGTACATCACATATCATGTACGGCATATCAGACGAGCCACTAGTCTGTATGTAGACTAGATGTAGACGTAGCAGCCATGTTCCCGGAGCGCCAGATAGTTTTAGGTACGCACTGAGATGAAGGCATCGTTCGTAGATAGTTGGACAATGATTTAACGTGGGTACATAAAAGGCGATAATAAAAAGGCGCCGGCACGATTGCAATCGATCGCGGGATGATTGCAATATCTATTCGCGATAGCTTGACGATCAAGTACAGCAATATCACTCGTTTAATGTCCTCTCTCGGGGACATTTAACGTTTCAATTGATTTTCTCAAGTACCCATGTGAAATCGTGATACACATTTGTTGTTGCCAATATCTTCTTTTCATTTCCACCGTTCTGTATAGAAATCTCCTCTTCTTCTTTGAAAATGCCTGCCCTATATGAAAGTACTTCCATTTCGGCTTCGAAGTAGCGACATAGAGTCGATAACAGAAACTACACGAGATTACGTTATCGTATGTGCGGTCGAAACTTCGTTGCCTTGTGCTATGTGCATCGATTTTACCTTTCCGAACTTGTAGAAGGAATATATGCCTTTGCCTACGAAATTTCGTTCGACGTGGGGAAAAGTTCGATTTCCATTAATCCTGGAATTTACTATATTTGCATTTTGTAAGTTTGACATTTTTCCTTGCCCATATAAGACCGATTTTTATAGACTTCCTGATATTGCTTGATACATCACGTTATTAATTTCGACCTTTGCACAGTACTATTATTCTTCATGACTAGTTGAAGCTTCCTTGTAAATATATGATGAATCGTGAGAATTTTTGATACTTACATATATGCTTGAATTTTTAAGAATAAAAAAAACATACGAAAAGTAAATGAAGGTAAGTTTGTGCCGTATTCGGAGTCCTATGTATCCTCTTGTATATTTTCTCGAAATGTTGTTTAAGATAATCAATCGGTGTGAGATATTGAATGGTGCTGAAATCTCACGATAGAACAATCCTGAATTTATATATGTACATGGTGACGTAGGTTGCGTCTCACGCACACGTGCACGAGAACCTTTATCATTCAATATTTCATGAGAAGTAAGTGATGTTATGTATTTCATGATTAGTAACACGTTTGTTTATTTTATTTGCAGTGAAAACAAACTAAATCAAGCAAGTTCGGGATAGATGTGAACTCAAATATGGTGTACTAGATCAATAAGATGTGAAACGATCAATGACACTCGTTTTCAGTGAATCTATATGTGGTTAAGTGAGTAAGAAATTGAACATAGTGAGAGAAGTATGAAGCGACAAACGGTCATGGACTTCATTTGATCGGCATGTGAGAGATTTAAAATGTTGAGACATTCAAAATGAGAAGACATTTCCAAACTTTGTATATAATTTAGGACAGTTCAAGTACTAAATGTCGATCTCCGAAACGATCGGCTAAAAAGACATTGAATGTTGTAAAATTTTTAGTCAAAAATGTCACCGTCAGAGTATATATTATTTAATGTAAATATTATAATAACGCTGAAATGTGAAAATTTGCGATATGTGCGCGCAGGTTTGAATGGGTAATGATGTTTACTTTATATTCTCGTTGATTTACGATTTTTACGATGATCGTCGTTATAATTTTGGCATTTTCCGTTAATTACATAAACTCGATCGGATTTAACATTTTCTAAGTAATTAGCATCGAAATAATTAGAATGTACGAAGATACAATTATTTACACAGTTTGTTCACTGAATACCGACGTTATTGGTTATCGTATTAGCACGTGTTTCTTGGCTTTTTAGATATCGTTTAATAATCTGTGTCTAAAAAAATGAGGTAATTAGTATGATGTAGAAAATGTGGAGCAGGCATATGTATACTATATTTCTCAAGTACGAAGCAGACTGATAAATCGATTCCTACACATCTAGTTTGGATCTTTTCGTTAAATTAACAATCTCGAAGACAGAATGAAGAAGCTACCCGAACAATTATGAATCAGCTTCGTTTGAAAGCTTTATTTAGAGATTTCATTCACGTATGAAGAACCAGATTTTGAAACAAATTGAGAAGACAAAACCGCCCATATAACTTGCGTAAACGGGATACATCGCGGCAAAAAATTCTCTTTCGTACTGATTTTTGTACAAAAACAGTGAAATGCCACTAAATATTTAAGAGGCTTTGTAAATCTCTGTAAGAAACGCGTATAAAAATGCTTGCCATTAATTTTATATCTTAATTATCGTGCTATGTGTTCGATCTTTCTTCATGCGTACTTCGAACACTCGCGAAAATATATTCAGCGAGCATGCACATGCACGTCTGCTGTGACTTAGTAAATAATTACATTTGTGCCCTCTGAGAGAAAGAGAGAGAGAGAGAGAGAGAGAGAGAGAGAGAGAGAGAGAGAGAGAGAGAGAGAGAGAGAGGGAGAGAGAGAGAGAGAGAGAGAGAGAGAGAGAGAGAGAGAGAGAGAGAGGGGGAGAGAAAGAACATTATTTTTTGTCAAGTTTTTAAGATTTAGCGTGTAAATTTCGTGTAAAAGGCAACGTTTCAATTTAATTATAGTGTATGAGATTTGGAAAAACGAGGGAAAGTCTGAAAAATAGCGAGTTTTCAATATTTTCCTGGTACCATTACAATTTACATTAATATTTATGTCACAATTTAGGTGCACTTTTGCGAGTCGACACGCTAAGCGAATACTACAAATTGAAACACTGCGCAGTTTTTCTTTGTGAGTCTTGTTAATATCTCATGAAGTGAGCTTTTTACGTGACATACTTTGGATTACGAATTATTGTATAGTTGGAAGGTACTCCTTGGATATTATCGAGAAAAATTGACAAGTGGCGTTGCAAGCTTCAATATATATGGCTACATTACGTATATTTTTATAAATTTCCGACTTACTATAAAAGTTTGATAGAGGTATAGGTTCAAACGTAGAGAAATTTCTATAATTCGCGTCGCGTTACTCGATTCATTAAAATCGCAAGATTCAGCGACATTTAACGTCGACGCTCTCTTACCACAATTCTTACTATGATTGACCAAGTATAATATTTTGCTTTGCAATTTGAAACGATTGTCTCATTCGCACTCGCATTTCCGCTCTACGCTATATCAATATCTCTATGCGATCCGCAGCGCGATCCTTTGATGTAAGATTGAGAATAATGTAAGCGCGAGGTCTGATACGCGTGCTGAGATTATATCGAAACGTGCAGTCATCGAAGTACATGCAGTCCGTCGTTAAGTGAGTTATGACGTAAGACTTAGCTTAGAGTTTGACGAATGAGATAACGAGTATCGTTAATTTGACAGATGAGCTACGTAGATGTCACTGATAATCCGATTGTTCACTGATAAATCCTAGATAACGTAACTTTCTCGCGATCGAGCTTTAGGGAACGGATGTGGGGGGGAGGGAGGGGATTGTATAAAAGCGTGGTATCTTATCATATCTATAACATGCTTGCATTAGAGGCGTACAGCAAAAAGAAAGAAGCTTTTTTACTCGTGAGAAAACAAAGACAGAAAAATAGAGCTCTATCCAGAAGACAAAGAGAGGTGTATATGTAAAGTACTGTGAAAAAAAAGATATTACTATAAGCTGGATTTCTAAGTACATATTTTGCAAGTGCACGAACTTATCAGGATCGTGGGACGACGTATAATTCTGTAATAGTTAACCGATGAAATATACAAGACTACTAGGTAAATCCTCAGTTTGTAATGCGTCGTTTACAGACGGCTGTATAAGATTCTTCGGGAAATTGTACTCGACACTCGGCTCTCTTCGCCAGCTGTTTCTTGCGTTTTCTCGACAAGTGGGACGATCGGCGCAAATCCGTTTAAGTTACACTTAGAGCTGGGAGAAATCGTAGTATTTGTATCGCGAAAACTTACGAAGACTGCGCTCGCGTACGCGACTTAGAGTAATCGAGGAATTCGCAATTGTTACACGACTGTGCGTACCGCGAGTAGTAGAGTAGCGACAAAAAAAAAGTGGCAGACAAAATTCGTTCTCGGTATCGAGAAGAAGTTGCGTGCCGTGAAAACATTTACGAAAGTAGCGTAAATCCTCTCGTCGCGAATGTTATCTACAGTAACAATACTAATGCGATCCCGTATGATACCGATTAGAATCGTCGACTTGTCATGAGAAACAGCGCGAGGAGTGCGCACGTCGATTTCTATTCTTGCCATGCCCATTTGTACATAGGCATGCTCAATTCTAGGATCGGACACGCGCGTCACATGAATCACACACACATATATATAATATATATATATATATATAATATTAAACTACGAAACTATGGAACACAAATTATTATCCGACTTTGTACCTATATATTATTAATTAACTCAATGAAAGAGATCGGGGTGAAACCCCGAGAACTATTATCGATTCGAATAGTAGAAGCTAATGCGAAAATGGGGGCGTATAATCGAGGGAAAGAAAAAATAAGATGGATATTTAACAAACGATAACAAAGAAGCAACATTACGCGAATGAAAATGCCTGAGAGCCAAGGGGTACCACTTTTGTCAAATTTAGAGAGCCAATTTAGGTTTACAACTATGATAGGGTGTGCGTGCGTGCGTCAGATGCATGAGATGAGCTGGAAAAATAAAATAGAGAGAGAGAGAGAGAGAGAGAGAGAGAGAGAGAGAGAGAGAATGTGCGTATGCTTGCGTGTGAGCGAGAAGAAAGAAGAAGGGAGGCTTTGCACGATATATCGAACTGTAAAATGAACGGTCGACTATTCTCGCAGGAGGAAGTCCAAGCCTGGGCGATCTTGTAATCTTATATCGTAAGCTCACGAACGACTCGTAATATATCCGAACGCACCGGGAGCCGGAAGTGATTAGACCGTAGCATATCACCGTTTCCGTCGATCGTTTTTGCGATCGATCTCGACAACGTTGCGAGACGCGCCGGCGCGCGCATTAATTGTCGGACGTTCCAATTAGACGCCCCTGTGTTTCTTTTCTAAACGCACGACTCTCACGATCACCCGAGCTAGAGCGTAAACCTCCCGTTTAATATTTTCAAGAGCGTAGTCGCGAGTCACGAGTCGGTCGTAAGAACGCGAGCAGTTTACGATTTCAATATTAAACGGAAAGCGGAAGTTGAGAGGAATATATCGCTGTCCGAAGCCGCTCATCGCTTGAAACGTCCGCGACGTGAGATCCATATATTTCTAATTTATCAATAGCGAACACGTCCGAATTTATTTAAAGAATAAGAGAGTGGACGGAAGAAAGAAACCGTGGAACGAACGAGAGAAAGCAAGGGAGAGAAAATGACAGAGAGAATGAGAGAGAGAGAGAGAGATGTGTCTATATGTCTAAGGGAACGAAGGAAAGCGGGCGTTAGGAGGAAGCGTGTCATTTTTCGTTGAACAAAAAGAACAGAGGAAAGGGAAAAAATCACGTAAATTACGAAAGAACGAAAGAATTTAAGCAGTACGTTTAGACGACGTTTCGCGGAACCTCGGCCGAGAACTCCGTGAACCCTCCGAGCTACGTTCCTCCCCCGTTCTCGCCTTCGACGTCCGTCGAGGAGGTCGAGAAGATCGCCGCGACATCGCACCCGCGCGTCGTGCGACGCGAACGCTCCGCATTTTCGTTTCTATTAATAATGCCGTGTCTCCCTCGCGGGGATATGTAAAGAGCTAATCACCTCATTCACGGAGTTCGCGGCAGGAGATCGCGTGACGATTAAGTATAAAGCGTTAGTGACTGTATCCAGTATCATATATCTGATAAAAGATACCCCCCGATGCCAGAGATGGCGTGTGACAATAAAGTGATTCAATGATCCTGCCGCGTTTCAATTGTCCCTCCTCGCACTTCGGTCTTTCGTTTTTCCTCTCCGTTTTCGCACGGGGAATCGTCCAACAATTTTCTCCCCTCGGGGGAACGAGAGGGGGGGGGGGAAAGAAGGGAGAAGAAAAATTACGGCGACATACGCGGTATCGTTCGTTTCATCGATTTGAAATATATGGTGATGGACGTACGTTCCTCGCACTTTGGCCTTTCGTTTTTCCTCCTCGTTTTCGCACGGGGAATCGTCCAAGAATTTTCGTCCCTCGAGGGAACGAGAGAGCGGGAAGAGGAAACAAGAAAGAAGAAAAAGTATAGGAGACACACGCGGCACCGTTCGTTTAATGAGTTTAATCGATATGAAATGTACGCGATAGACGTACGTTTCTGCCTGACACCGTGTACATCGCTATGGACCTTGAGTATTTCCCGGAAATAGTAAACCGGCGTTCGTTGTTTACGTTTTTCGGCGCGCCGTTGCGGTCGCCGCGCTATCATTCACGCGCCGGCTCTCGAGCGGGTAGGTCGGTGAGTCGCGCTGTGCGTGTACCGTTGTTTTCCCGAGACGCGATTTCGCGAGAAGATAACCGAGCTTGATCATCTCCCTGTTTCGATCGCGTTAATCGAGCGGCGGATCCCGCGACGGCGCGGGCGGCTCATCGAGTGTTCTCGAATATACTTTACGCAGTTTATTCGTCGGGACGGAAGGAACGAGAAAGTTATTCCGCTTCGTAATATGTTACGGAGACAAGTGTTTATTAAAAAAAAAAACCGTACGAGTGGAATATTCCAGGGAGAAATAATTCGCCGAGACGATGTCGAGCGACGAGTCATTTCTCGCTGGGATACTCGCTCGCCGGACCTCTCGGTTTAAATGTGAATCGCGTACGTGGTTTTCGGATCGAGTGCGCGAAGAGGTGCACGAGAAATAGTTTGTTAATCGTCTTCTCGCGCGTTTGCACGTTGGAATGTCAAGTACGCGCGCAATACTGAATTTCCATTGCGGTCTTTGAATTAAAGCAGCCATTAGCCGCCATTCAGTTTGACCAACCGCATCGGCGCGAAGTTTGCAACGATACTTTCGAATCGTTTGCCCATTAACGCGACGGAACGCGCACGGAGCGGACGGACTTCGGGTCGGGCGACGCGTTCAGTTAGCGAGTGTACGTGATAACATTGCAATTTCGAGGCCACGTAACGTAACGCAAAGTCGACGTTGGCCGATATTTCCGTTCTAAGCCCGTAATTTGCACAGACGTGCGTCGCGAGGGGAATCGCATCGGTTCGGCGCGTTCGCGTTTCGCTCTCTCGTTCTCTCGCCCCGACGAAGGCGCGTCGAACCGCGCTCGCGGTGTGTCGCGTGTGGAGAGTGTCAGAGTCTGGCCAGAGATCCTGTAATCAGAGACTGGCCATAAGAGTTCGTCAAATTGCCGCGAGTGCGAGAGAAACACAGGCTATCTTTGCGATCGTAGAAGAGTGAGAGATGGCCTATGGCTTCTCTCTCGCTCGCGGGAATTTGACCGAACTCTTGTGGCCAGTCTCTGATCACGGGGTCTCTAATATCCGTATTCATAGTCGTTCCTCAATTCTCAAGGTTAGTCTGTCTTTGTCTCGCTACTACGTTTTACCATACGCGAGACAAAGACAAACTACCCTTGAGAATTGAGGAACGACTATGAATACGGATATAAGTCTGGCCAGCGGACCAGTTTCGGCCAGACTCGGATTAGAGGGATTCTAGTCGCGTGTGCTCGATTAATCGCGCGCATTTTTCGCGAGTGAGTGTCGTGAAAGGACAGCGGCGAGGCGGGAGGAGCAATGGAGGAGCAGGAGGCGCGGGAGGAGGAGAAACATCATGAGTGAGTAACTTGTTATTTCTAATTATTGATCGACATGTTACGCGATTGATACGTGGCTCGAATGTCACGAAGTCATTTTATTGAAATTCTGAATCCCCGCTCGGCCGAAGAGAGGGTTTCTCTTCTCAATCGAGATCGAATTCTACTTTGCCGACGGTGAGTACTTTACCATCGGTGGCTTCGGTAACATCGTCGGTCACAACGCGCGCGTTATCCGTTGGCACACCTTCGCGCGCCTGACATCAGGTCAGTTGGCGCGACGGCAGGGCGAGTTACCGGTCGTTTGTTCGCGATTCGCTCCCGAGCTTCCTCGAGTAGCGTTTAATTCGCGCCTGATAATTCGCGTTTCGAATCGCGCGAGTGTCCTCCAAAATCGTGATAACGTTACAGCCGTTTCGATCTGCCGACTGGCTCTCGATTGTCTCGATGCGGAACGCGTGCTGGACAACTACGCGCCCCAATTTCGGTGAGTGAGACGCTCTTTAGGCTTTCGCCCGGTTTCACCAAACGTCGCTTAAACCTTGATCTTAGCTTAATTCGAGTTTGTCTCTTTCTAAAGGAACAGTTGGAAAGAGACAAAGAACGAAATCAGCTAAGCTACAAGTCGAACAATGTTGGTGGAACCGGACCTTATGTGTTTAAAGTTTTAGTGGCGCCCTAATAGGTTTCTTCTCACGCAAATTGGAATACTATTTTAATTGCTCGGATAAAGAGAGAAGTGTGAGGTAAAGCCGCAAATTCCCGGAATATCTTACCCCACAATCGTGCTTTAAGTAAGCTGTAAGCCCTAAGCCGTAAGAAATTAGCCAATCGCAGACATTTATTTTCCTCACTCTCACCTGTGATTAGTGAAATTCTTACGGCTTAAGGCTTACAGCTTACTTAAAGCAGGGTTGTAGACCAACACTTGGTGCCCATCTACAATAGAGATTTAAACCCTAAGCCTTAAGAAACTGACTAATCGCAGTCGCGTGTTCCACTCATACTTGATCGTGATTGGTCAATTTCTTAAGGCTCAGGGCTTAAATCGTCTATTGTTGACTGGGACTTACTTGTCACGGTATTATTTGCGACGGACGATGTAGCTGAGACTAGAAAATGAGCGTTGACGTCTCTGGTTTCCTTTTTCTTGATCACGTAACTACGTGGCATTTAAGAATGGACACTTGTATGTTCGGCTACGTGCATACATTGTATAGAATGTATATACTTACAGTTCGGTCGGCCAAACAATTCATTCGTCGCATTCAACAGTGTTTCTCTGATTGTGCCACTTTTACCCTCTAGATGGAGACAGACTTAAGCCCGCTTTACACGATCTATAATTCGCAACAGAATTCGAGACAAAATTCCATTTTTAAATTAAATTATTACAATATTTTAAATTATGTATCGTGTAATACAGAAAACATTTGAACAATCAGAATTATAATTATAATGCTCCAATTTTGTAAATAGAAAAGACGCATCAAATATGTGTAGTGCATAAAAATGCGTGATTGATTAATTGTATCTGGTCTAATGAAAAACCTTAAGCATTGATTGCTGTGAGTATTTATGTCCAATCGGCAGGGAAAACGGACCTCATCCATATGTAAATGTTATAACCTACACTAACTTAATCTACAAACATATGTCAATTTAATATATGAAATTATAAAATAGAATTCTATCTTGAATTCTGTCGCGAATTATAGATCGTGTAAAGTGGGCTTTAAACAGTATCTCGTGTTTAAAATACACACAATTGGGTATAATAGAGACGGAGAATGTAAATGTAATTATCATATATATTTAGTTTTAGGTGAACGTATCATATGTTACAATAAATTTTTGGAACGTGGGACTTGGCAATACCAGCTTGTCCCACCAATAAATTAAAAGAAACATAGATTAATCGTCAAGCGAAAATGACTAGGGCGGTGAATTTGGATTCTCCATTTCTCTGGGTTTCGTTTTCTCGATCGCCACAATGTGACCGTTGTGCACCTGCATGACCGGGCCTCGTATTATAATACATTCGTTTTACGGCTACTTATTAATTGTCTAAGGAAGAGGTAGCGCTTGGATAATTTTGCAAGCGTGCTAAAGCAATGTGCAAATCTGAGGTGTTTTTTTTTCAATCCAAATATTAATTTTATTCGGCACGCAAGACTTTTCAACGCGTCATTTCTCGCGTCTGACATCACAAACAATTACAGCAGGGATGGGGAGCCATAAAAGTGAGACATGAAACAAAAATTTAACATGTTAGCTGGTATAATGCGGATTGAATGTGCATTGCCATTTATTTCGACACAAAACAATTCATAGAAGTGTCCCGTAACTCGAAAGTCGTACGAGCTTTTTTCATCGTCCGATGATACGATGAGATAAAGACAATCCCATGCGAGAGACATTTATAATAGCCGTCCCATTAATGAGCGAAGCCGAGTCCAGTAGGCACGTAACTATTTTGAACATATTAAAATTAGTTATTTACCTAAAACCGCGCCTAATTATGTAAACTTTTTATCTTTCGGAATTTCCTTAAGGCTATTTTCCTCGATTGGGTCTTAACAGAAGCGAAAAAGATTACGCAAATAAAAATTTCGAACGTCGCCGCGATAGGCAAAAACATTTTGCAGACGACAAACGCGTCTTGAGGAAAGAAACGAGAGCGTCTCGTCTCGACGTGCGTGTCGTTGAATATTAAACGATACTATAGACATAGTTAATACTAGACCGGGCATGAGACGCCAGATCTGAGGCTCAGGTGGAAAGGGATAAAAAGTAGGTGCCGTCCACCTTTCTCTCTCTCTCTCTCTAACGAGAAGAATAAAAAGAGAAAGGTTGACGCGGCACCTACTTTCTGTCCTTTTCTACCTAACTTCATTGCTTAAAAGATAACATGCTCGGTCTAGTATTACTATGTCTATGAACGATACAACCCGAAGGGGGGGGGGGGAGCTCGCGGGTGCGCAAACAAGCGCGGCGGAGCGCCGCGATGAAACGCGTGACGGATCGGGGGATGATGCGGTTTTCGGCGCATCGGAAAAACTTTATTGTCGTAATCCCGCGGCGTCGATAAACCCATTAACCGCGCGTCGCGCGTAATGTATGCGACGGAACGTAATAAAAATCGACTTACACGCGCGCACGCGTTTCCATCGGCCCGGCCGGCCCTTTTCGGTGTCGCTAAAAGTTTAATCAAAGTCAGATTAGCCGCGCCCGCCCCTCCGCCCCTCGCCCCGCTCACCCTCGCCGCCCCGTCAGCCACGACACCGGGGGTGCAAGACTCGGGGATCCACGGACCCGGTTTTATTAAACGGGACTTGATTAGGGGTTGCCGAGATCCTTTCAGAGTTTGTTTTCAACTGGTTTTCACGACGGCGCTTTCATTACGCGCGCTTCGCATAATTGACGCGATCGTTCGCCTGGCGGAGGCGCGAGGAGGGAAAAACTTTGCCCACTCGGCCTCCTCGGATCTCTTTTTATCTGCGGCGATCGACCCCGCGCCCCCGTGGATCCCGCTGATTTGTTTGCCAAATCTCTCTCTCTCT